ATTTGGAAGGGTTGTGCCGTTAAAAAGCCGGAAGAATCATGAAATCAGAAGAAATTAAAATTTTACTTGTGCGAGAAATGAGCGTCTGTGTTCTGTTCTGTTGCAAATCCTGTTCTGCCGTCATCTAAAGCAAATAAAATTTTAGCTGCTGCTTAATCTAAATTGCGGTAGCTATATTACGCAGCAAGTCATTTTAAAACATACTGTGAAACATAATGTGAGAAAGAAAGAGCGACTAAAATTAAACTAAAAAAAAAAAGTAGAGAGAACGATGTTGGCACAAATTTTACGCTTTATAACTGATAAAAGCACAAATTGGATTGTGTTTAAGCGGTTAAAATATTCGTGCAAAAAGGTTAATAAACTAGCTTTTGTAAGCCAGACGCTTTGAGCTAAAAAGAAAAAAACAAAAAATCTCGAGAATTGTAAAATACATACCTGGGTATACTTTGCGATTAAATTAGAAAATTTGTTCTGCAACTTTTCTACCTGATGAAGCAGTGCTGTGCATTTAGGTGCTAAAGAATTTATTTCTTCAGAATCTCTTTTGAGCTGCTCCTGAGCTGCTGATAATTGGGACAACAACTTGTTAGCTCTTTTTTTATTTGGGGTGCCCAACTCATCTGATTCGCTACAATTTTTGGCAAGTATATTGAATTCTTCCTGTATTCGCTTTATTTCAACTTTCAGCGCTTTTTTCTCCTCACCCCAAGAAATAATTGCTTGAATTTGCGAAGTAATAACTCCACATCTCTCTTTTATTAATTCTACATGATTTTTCACGCGTCTTTTCTTTTCACTGATTTCATGTGACTTATCTTCTTCATACTCTGAGTATTCAATTTTGTGCAAATCGTTAAAAGCTTCAGAAAGTGTAGATTCTCTTTCCTCTAAATCATGCAAAGCTTTTTCCAATACGGGAATATCTGCTAGAGAAAGAATGTTGTCTGTCTCTCTGAGCGTAGTATAAGAATTATGAAGTTCATTGTCGATTTTCTTGAATGCATTTTCTATGGCTTCTTCGCACCCGCCATGCTCAGCATTGTCAGCAGTTGCAATCTGAAATTATAGAGCTACTAAGAAAGCGTTACACAGGAATTCTTCATGAAAAGTTAACGAAAATACCTCAGTAAAGCTCTGAAGATACTCATTTATTTCAACATTATGTTGAATTTGCTGTTGTTCTCGGATTTTCGAAAGCTGTTTCAAAGCTCTATCCCACAATCTGTTTATGCTTTCATCTAAATTGTCTAGTTTGACCGCAATTTCCTCTCGCGTACCCGTGTTCAAAGCACGTTCTACAGAATTTCGCAACTGTTTGACGCGCGTTTCTATTTCGGGTAAATGACAACTGATTGCCTAAAGGATAAGATAAACGAATATGAAAGAAGAAACTTGCATGAACAATATGTTTTACAAGTTGATAATGCATATTAACCTCATTAATCTGGTTCTCATTATTGTTTGATAAGAATTCGGTTTCAACTCTACGTAATTCCACAATTATTTCTTCCTCCTGTTTACAGAAATGATTCTTCTCTTCTTTGGCAACTTCTAACATCAGGTTATTGTAATCCTGTTTTTTTTGCTGTATACCTGCATTCGAAGATTCAACACTATCATCCTGATAAGAAATTGGTTTTGGTTGTCCACACAACTTAATCGATTCGTTAACGACAGCGGTCAACTCTTTGAACACGGTGAAGCCCAACTAAAAATAATTATTGTAGTTGATCGCAAATTAAAGAACCAGCACTTTTAAAATCTATTACCTTTAGAACCTTCAGTTCTACAGAACTTTTTGCAACTACGTCAAACGCCTTGGTCAAAATTATTTTTTCACGGATTTCTACTAATTTTCCGTATGCTGAATCATGTTGAGCAACAAATTTTGTTGAGCAACAAAAAATTAGTTTTTTTTGAAAGTTTAAATTGTTTGTTTCTTCAGTCAATTTTTTCGATCCTTCTTCATTTTTTGTGCTATGAATAGATTATTGGCTCAGCCTGCTGCTGAAAACATTAAACTGATTTTTTCTTTCAGTAGTGGTTTCCTGATTTTCTGAAATCATATTCATCATTATAAAGCCCTTCTAATTCTGAGGCCATTAAAACTTAGTTTCAGTTTGATTAGTAATTTTACTGCACCCATATTTATGTAACGCAATCGCCTAATAATCTTAAACTTTTTGGCAAAATGTCAACGAACTGTTTAATTGTAGACGAGTCTTTTTTAGAAACAATTAAATCAATCAAAATATCTGAATTTTGTTTAGGGAAATTTAAACAGCACAAGGTATGATGCAAGAAAAAAGACAAAAACGAGTATTTAAAATTTGCATAATTTTGAACTTGAAGCACAAGTTTCAGTTATAACTATTGACTGTTTACCTGTGGGTTTTTATCTTTAACCGACGATTCGACATCTAAATTTGCTTCTGTATCATCTGATTCTGTGCATTCAAGGAACGCAGACTGCGACACTTTCGAATTTTGATCCGCTTTACTATAAGTTGCAGGCGAAGAAACCACGAGTTTCTCATGATCAAGATTTGTTTCAACAAGCAGCTTTCCATGGATATTTATTTCATGAAAGGTATAATCTTCAGCAAGTCCTTGTTTCGTTTCATTCCTTAATTCTTCTTTTTCATTCTGTTGGAGAATTCCTGAGATTTTCTTATTAAGTTTTTTAGAAGGTATTTCTGCGCGTTCTTCCCTTTCCTGCGCTTGCTCGCATTTTTTTTCAACATTCTCTATTGTGTTTTTGTCGCTGTTGTGAGACTGCACAGGTCGAGTTTTTTCAATAAGTATATCAAAATCAGCTTCCAACTTTAATTTCTTTTTTAAGGCAGTGGTAGAATGGAATTGAACTTCTTCTTGAGGAAGTGAACCGTCGGTTTTCTCAAATAAGTCTTCTTTTTTCTCCAGTTTTTCCTCACAATTTTCACCCTTTTCTGTCGTCGTATCTGACCAGCACATAGCCGCTGCAGTGGTCAAATTGCCAACAACTTGTTTTGTAAAGCGTTAATAAATGGTAGCGGTGTGATCTAAAGATTTTATGCTTTTTTGCACCTGAAGATGTAGTAATTCAAGTTTCACGTTTCAAAAGCAATTTTGGCCTGTTTCCAAAAGTTATTAACGATATTGATTGCACTAATCAGATCAGTAACTTTTGAAGTCGCTATTTTTATCTGAAATTTTTCGTTAACCAGTAACAATAAAAATTAAAAAAAGTGAAAAAAATACTGAATTTTAGATCATTATACAATGCATTAATTAAAATTATTAGAAAAAATCAAAATCAAATAAAAAAAACTTTTTTAAAATTTTTATTTAAATTTGAACTATTTTTTTAAAGCCAAAAACTGTACGTCAAAAGAACTGATGAAGCAAAAATACAGAAATAAATATTAGAATTTATTCTTGCAAAATTATTATTGTTTTAAAAGATGTACCTTGTTTCGTTAAGAAGTATTTGTATTTAAAAGCCTCGCAGTTTATCAACAAAACACCACTTTAGAGAACTTCTGAAGACAAGAATTTGAGTAATAACAAGAGCATTTCACTGAACTTATTATGCAAGTACTGAAAACTCGTACGTATAAGAATTAAAAAAACCGTATCTGACGATGGCAAAGTGGATTGAATAAAGACGGGCTGTAAAAAAATTACCAAGTAACGTTGACACCACTTATACCCGAAGAAATCAATAAGTGTTGAAGTGTGCTTAATTTAGTGAAAAACTTCAAAATTTCATACGACTGCTTCAATATATTCTACATTTTCACCTGAAGCTTTCAATCTTGCTTGAATACTGTTTTAATGCAATTTCAAAACTTGTTAAAATTAATCATTTTAAAAAGATGATGAATAATCTGCTAAGGGTTGTTTTTTTTTTTTTTTTTTTTTTTTTTTTTTT